AGAGTATAAAAGGAGAAACTGCCCAGGTTGTCTCCTTCACCCATAGAGGTACTAAGGTGAGATTTTCACTTTAGTAAGCAATCAAGTAAATGAAAGTCTACACCCCACCGAATACACTAACACACAAGCTACAGTCAAAATATCACAATGCCCCAAACACCAATCCTGGAGAAAAGAGCTACATATTATCCTATAGTAAGAGATCATGGTGAAAAGGTAGATAGGAAGTTCATAGAGGCCACAGTTCCAATATTCACTTGTGCTAGGCAAAACAATGGCTATTGAATATTTCCCAGGCTTCTTCTGTACATTAAGCAGGCACAGCTGGGTGTTGTGCGCTCCATTGGGATCTGTCAGTAGAGGTTTTCAGCAATCTGAAGAGATGCCCCTTAGGAGAACACTTGTATGTCACTATTGCTAGGAAGACAGGGACAAGGGTCTACTAACCCCAGAGAGGAAACCAACGACCGACCAAAGTAAAAGACACGACATCACCCAAGTCTAACTTGGTGAAACAAGGAGTTTATAAGAGTTCCATATGGGAGCATGGGTAGGGGTTACTTACAGGTGGAAGAACCACTCAGGGACAGCCTTATGCCTGAAAGCCCCAGCGTGGGCAGTGACAACAAAATCTGGAAACGTGGCCCTCAGTGAACAAGTTGCTTATATAAACTTGTTAAGGAAAGTGCCCTGCGCATCTGGCCAGTTTAAAGACTTCCAGAGACTCCTGAATTGTTAACTTCTGAGTCTCAAGGAGTCTGTCTTCAGAATTTCCTGAGTCTTAGCAAACCCCATTTAGAAATTCCTAGGTCCTTATGAGCCTTAGAACATTCTGCTTCTACTCCACATTGTCTATTGTGTTCATAGTTGTCAGATTGAACCAACTCCATACAATTTCAGTTCTACAAAACAATTACTTTCATTGGTTGGAGCATGTCATGTTATTTTACTTATCTGAAATTTGGATTCTATGGGATATAAAGTATTTAATGTTACATTTAGTCAATTTAGGGACTCTCAAGAAAAGAGACAAAGAGAAATGTTCCAATGGCAGGTCGATGGAAAACTGATAGCTCAGATTAACAACATAGACAAAATATTGACGTCCATCATGGTAACATTCAATGTTGTATGTTAACTGATAGAATAAAGTAATGCACTGCTTCTAAGGATGCCTGGAAAGATTTTTCTGGAAAAGATTAGGATTTGACTCAGTAGACAATTGAATAAAGGATATCTGCCTTCCACAGTGTGCGCAGAAGCATCTAGACAATTGATAGACCCAGACACAAGAACTGTGCCTTGGCTGCAATGAGCTTATGGAATGATGCTAACTGTACATGGAAAATGAAGGGTAGCTGAGTACCTAGGGAGAGGACAAACAATTTCTTAAAGAGAGGCTTGTCCTAGACTCAACTAATTCCAAGATAAGAAAACTGGCTCAGGATCCCCTTTCACAGCATACCCCAATCCAGAGCCCCTGCACATACAAACTCAGTGTCTCTATTACGCTCCCAAACTACTGGCGGGGTTTTTCCACTGTAAACATAGTGAGGCCTGCTACCACATAGCTCAGGGAAGTCCATGAATTCCAGAGCTTTCTGACATTTTTTAGAGGGCTGGACTCCAAGCCCGCCTGTCACCTGGTGTGGAAGGAATACTGAAGGCTCCTGCCTCGTTTTCCCCCTGCTTTTTCTTAATCTGGTCTGATCCTTTCTCTTGTGGAGGTTGTGAGGCAAGAGAGGCTGCTCATCTCAGCCACTGGGAGGACCAGACTCTTCCCATTTCTGCAGCCACCTGGACACTTACCTCACCCTGCAAGAGCAGGGATGGAAGGAACATTGTGAAACACCGCCTCAGGGTCAGAGTTCCCGAAGGAAAGGCTCTAGGGAAACTGTGGACATGGTCACCTCTGCCCTGAGCAGTGTGGACAGTGGGAGAAGAGGGACTGCTTCCTTAAGCAGTAGAAAAATTCATAGCTTTAACAAGAATTTATTGTATATATTTATTGTGGTGGGATGTAGTGTGTTCAAGATCAGAGGACAATTTACAGGAGTTGGCTCTTTTCTTCCACCAAGTAGGTTCCAGGCCTCAAACTCGTTGGGCTGGGCTGTAAGCACCTTTGCCTGGTGAGCCAACAGATGGGCCAAGAATTCCACAGTCTTGGTTCTTCCGTGTGCATGTACCAACCCTGCCATAAAAGAATGCATGTATGTTTCCAATTGGCCAAAATATGCAAGTCACACAATTTTAGTAGATGTTGTCTATATTCTTCTAGTGTTAGAAAGTAGAATTGCTTTTTATTTTCTCTAATTTCCATGTGTGTTCCATAGTTTACATTGATGCCCCAACATATGTCTTGGGCTAATTCTGGACTTCATACTCTAGAAGGGAAAGCTTAATGACTGAGATGTCTCTATGCTACACCCATTTAAATGGAAAATGTGACAGAAGAAAAGCCCATACTTTGCTGGAGGAGAAATTCCATGTACTCCCTATGTAGAAAAACTAGGCAGTGTTGACCAACAGTCAGATGTGAATTTTCCACAGCTACCGCAGTCCCAGGTACTAAGGGGAGAGACTCAGACATGATGTACACACGAGAACACGCACAAGAATGGTCCCACAGCAAAGCTACACATGTCCAAGTGGTCCCAGATGACCTGACCCCAGAAACCTCAGAAATCCTCTCTGGAATGGAAAGTTGCAGTCTGTATATTAATCTACGGGTTCTTTGGCAGCTACGTACACGTTAACACTCGGATGTATTGCATAATTGTCTAACCATCCCCAGATGTCGGGATCCTAAGGGCACTGAACTCCCTGAGTTCTCTGAGTGAGTGGTCCCCCACACTGCCCTCTGATGCCCCAACCTTGTCTATAGGGAAACTCCATAGTTGCCTTGAAGTCCTGCAACTCACATTTTGATCACCAGATGGCGCGCCTGGCTCTATTTACTAAAGGCTAGTTTTCCCTGAATAAATTAATATTTTAATGAAAGAAAAAAATACTTCTCAAAATAGGTAACAAAATAATAAGTACCAATATGCCATGATTGTCTTTGTGTATTGTGAATTCTACAATATTGAGTGAAGGTACACACACAAACACACACACACACATATACACACACACATACATTTCCTTCAGCCATGTCATCAATTTATTTCTGTGAATTAGTAGTTTATTGTGTGCCAGGCATCATCATTCTAACCCCACACCTACATGTCTCACACAATTCCTTTTTCCCTCTTTTGATCTGCTCAAGTGGATTCCCATGGAAACCATTCAAAGAGACTGCCTTAAACTGTCTGGTCCACAAAGAAAAACAAATGCTGCCTTGGAAACCAAGGAAAATTTGGCCCATCCTTCCCACAGTGTTCGCTATCAGGCCCCACTCTTCTCCTGGCTATATCTCCCTTACAGAGGGGAGGGAGGATAAACCTTGTGTGGTGTCGGTCTTGGAAGTTATCCTGGGTGCGGAGTAGATTTTTTTCTGATTCTGCTTCCATTTGATAGTGCAGTTAACATGTATGGATGATCTATAAGAAAGCAATTTGTTTAAGGAGGTCATTGAGGTTACACCAAGCACGTGACTTCCCATTCCCACACTGTGGGCCTAGAACCAGAGCCACAGGACTCAGAGAGGAAGAGGAACCACATCTTCAAAGACAAAGACAGGCAGAGGGTCCAGTCTGAGCATGTCACTCTCCTGATTTCAGGAAATGCTCACCACAGGTTTCTCACATAGCAGTCACCTCCTCTCAGCTCTCCACGTGGGTAGTCTGTGAGCAAAAAGACACTCTTCTCCATTGCTGGAGAGAATGCAACTGTTCTCCAAGCCTATGGATGGATCTTATGCTAGTGAAAACCACAAGCGTGCATTCTGGGACCAGGGGTCTTTCTTCTAAGGATCCATCCCAAAGAACACGGAAGGGGACACAAAGAATCTGACAGAGCAACAATGTAGAACTCCAAGAGCAGAACTATGAAAAACATCTGTGGGAAGGAAAGAGGGACAGCATGATCTCAGGTGTATCTACCACTCAAATGACTAGGTACGCATGTGCTTAGCCAGGTATGATGGTATGCATCTGTGATGCCAACAGGCTGATGGTAAAGACAAGAGAATAGTCGTTTTGAGGCTATCCTGAGCTACATAGTGAGCTCAAGTTTTACCTGACTTATATACTGAGATTCTATCTCAAAACAAACAAAATAATTTTTAAGAAGGCAACATGAAGTCCATGATTATAATTATAGAGTGATCTCCAGGATATATTGTGAATACACAACACAAGGTGAAGAAATGAGGCCAGGGTTATCTGCCTAATGTTTTCCTCAGTTACATGCGGCACATGGAGGTTAATAAATTATATAACCCTATTTAAAATAAATAAAGTCAGCTTTAACAAACAAAATTTAACCATAATTATAAGTGTCACCTTCAGCACTGCTCAGATTTCCAGTGGCCAACAGCCACAGACAGCTAGAGCTTCCTGGGCTGGGCAGTGCAGATGCAGAGCATTTTCATCAATTCAGAAAGGTGCATTGGGAACAGAGAGTGCACACCTTTATTGTGAGTGGGAGAATTGATAAAATATGTATGCTTGTGCTTTGAAACACTGGATAGTTGAGCGCCCCCCAAGAAAAGAAAATGATCTCCTATAGAGTGCCCTGGAAGAAACCAGGACAGAGGCTGACATTTATGCTCTCGAAGATGCAGAAGTACTCATTCCATGCACTGATTCCAATCAACTACTTATCACCAACTCCATTGCTCAGATTGAGTACACTAAAAACACTGCCCCCTCAAAGATGCCTGGGGAAAATGGCTGATTCCAGATTTGGGGCCAGGAATGCAACAGAAAAGTGCACAGTGACCTATCTCATCAGGAAGAATTTGGAAAAGACTAAAAAGTCCGTGTTAAAATGGAGATCTTCACGTGAGTGCAGCAAGTCAGACTTATCAGGGAGATGTGAAATATTTTCTCTTACAGATTGAATTAAAGACCAGACGTGATAGTAGTAGCCAACCTACTATTTTATAATATATATGAATTTAATTGGAGTTACCTGACGAAAGGGATGATGCTTCTCCCAGAAGCCATGGATTATTAAATAGCCCAGTGCCAAGTGTGGAACACCCCCTCCAGCTGTTGGTCAGGGCTGTTCCAGTGATCCCCCAAAACAATGCAGGTATTGTTTTGATCTTGATTCCTATTGTCATTGCTCTTGATTCCTATTGCTTAAGACACCACACACGTTGGCCACAGGGTATGGAGAAATCAAGTTGACACTGACCAGAAACCTTCCTTCCTATTACCTAGTTTTCCTATTACCAGAAGATACTACCAGGCTATTGAGTGGAGGAAAGTTGTCAATGTTCTTATTCCTCTGTGAACTACAATAATGGCCAACATGGCAAGATATACCCATGGGTCAACAGTGGCATGAATATCACAGAGGTAACCAAGTAACTTTATGTTTCAATTTAAGGCCCACTCCACAGGAGGAAACACTTGCCTAATACTATAAATGTCATCATGATCCCATGGTTGGCGAGTTCAGAGGTCCCAGAGGTGAAACTACAACCACCACCACCACCACCACCACTACCACCACCACCACCACAACTAACACCATCACCACCACTAACACCACCACCACCACCACCACCATCACCACCACCACCATTACCACTAACACCACCACCATTACCAACACCACCATTAACACCACCACCATCAACACCACCACCATTACCACCACCATCACTACCACCACAACCACCACCACCATCATCACCACCACCACCACTAACACCACCACCAAAATCACCACCACCACCACCACTAACACCACCACCAAAATTACCACCACCACCACCACTAACACTACCACCATTACCACCACCACCACCATTACCACCACCATCACCACCACCACCACCACCACCACCATCATCACCACCATCACCACCATCTCCACCACCACCACAATCATCACCACCATCACCACCACCACCACCACCACCACCACCATCATCACCACCACCACCACCATCACCACCAGCACCACCACCACCATCACCACCACCATCACCACCATCACCACCACCACCGTCATCACCACCATCACCACCACCACCACCACCACCACCACCACCACCACCATCACCACCACCACCACCACCATCACCACCATCACCACCACCATCACCACCACCACCAATACCACCACCACTATCACTACTACTACCTTTACCACTAGTGCCATTACTACTACTCCTCTGGGAGGTGAACATTGTATGACACTTCCAGGTGTCACTAAGGTGAGCAAGTATTGCTGCAGAGATGAGAGAAGCTTCTTCATCAACTGATGTGTGTCATTAAATCACCAAGTTTCACGATAAGGGTCATTGGGTTTCCAAACCATCCAGGGAATGTCTCAAAAACACAAGAAACAACTGATATCAGAAAACAGCACCACTATGTGGACATGGAGCCAGAAAAGCCCAGGAATTTTTGCCCCGCCTCTTCCCCATAAGCCCCATGCACAGTCACTGCCCTGCCAACAGCAGCCATGGCCAAATGTTCCACTCTCTACACACTGCAGCTACATGGCTCCCGTTGACCATAATGGCTGTTCCAACCCACTCTCGCAACAGTTTCTACTCAGTTCATTCTACACACAATAACATAACAACAACAAGAGTGAAATTGTGACTCTCTCCAAATCTTCCTTTCATAGTCATAATACAACTGAAAGACTATGAGAGTCATCTACCTTTTCCACCTCACACCGACATGACTACACTGTCCGCCAGCCTCTAGGCTTGTCCTCTGCTCGTAGACCAAATGAGGTCCATGTGGACAAGCCCACCAACAAGGCTTGTATATCCCTTCTTCTTCTTGTCAATCAGGACTCGAGTCAAATGCTACCTGATGAAACCGACCTTTGGGGGAAACCCCACCTACAACAATCCCCATCACAGCCATTTTATGTCCACCTTGAGTTCTTTAAAGCACAAATAACATATGGAGTTGCTGCAATTACTGCTATCCTCTACTTACTGACAATTTAGCCATCTAACTCTGCTAGTCTTCTCAGTGCAGGAACCCGGTGCTCACAAAAGAGGCCACTATGTGAATATCTGGATAAACATACATGAAGGAATTGATTTATCTATTTGCTATGCCATGTAACACACTGGTATTTATGGGATTAACAAGAGGACATTGTATGGAATTAAGCAGTCTGTGATCCATATCCTGAAAGACAGAATGTAAAACCCACTAGCAATACTTTTTTTTAATTTTTTAATTTATTTATTTATTAAAGATTTCTGTCTCTTCCCCGCCACCGCCTCCCATATCCCTCCCCCTCCCCCAATTTAGTCCCCCCCTCAGCCCGAAAAGCAATCAGGGTTCCCTGTCCTGTGGGAAGTCCAAGGAACCCCACCTCCATCCAGGTCTAGTAAGTTGAGCATCCAAACTGCCTAGGCTCCCACAAAGTCAGCGTGTGCAGTAGGATCAGAAACCCATTGCCATTGTTCTTGAGTTCTCAGTAGTCCTCATTGTCTGCTATGTTCAGAGAGTCCGGTTTTATCCCAGGCTTTTCCAGACCCAGGCCAGCTGGCCTTGGTGAGTTCTCAGTAGAACATCCCCTTTGTCTCAGTGTATGGGTGCACCCCTTGCGGTCCTGAGTTCCTTGCTCGTGCTCTCTCTCCTTCTGCTCCTGATTTGGACCTTGAGATTTATGTCCGGTGCTCCAATGTGGGTCTCTGTCTCTGTCTCCTTTCATCGCCTGCTGAAGGTTAATATTCAGGAGGATGCCTATATGTTTTTCTTTGGGTTCTCCTTATTTAGCTTCTCTAGTATCACTCATTATAGGCTCAATGTCCTTGGTTTAAGGCTAGAAACCAAATATGAGTGAGTACATCCCATGTTCCTCTTTTTGGGTCTGGCTTACCCCACTCAGGATAGTGTTTTCTATTTCCATCCATTTGTATGCAAAATTCAAGAAGTCCTTGGTTCTTACTGCTGAGTAGTACTCTAATATGTATATATTCCATACTTTCTTCATCCATTCTTCCATTGAAGGGCATCTAGGTTGTTTCCAGGTTCTGGCTATCACAAACAATGCTGCTATGAACATCGTAGAGCATATGCTTTTGTTGTATGATAAGGCCTCTCTTGGGTATATTCCCAAGAGTGGTATTGCTGGGTCCAGGGGTAAGTTGATCCCGAATTTCCTGAGAAACCGAAACACTGACTTCCATAGTGGTTGCACAAGTTTGCATTCCCACCAGCAATGGATGAGTGTACCCCTTTCTCCACAACCTCTCCAACAAAGGCTATCATTGGTGTTTTTTATTTTAGCCATTCTGACAGGTATAAGATGGTATCTTAAAGTTGTCTTGATTTGCATTTCCCTGATCACTAAGGAAGTTGAGCATGACCTTAAGTGTCTTTTGGCCATTTGAAGTTCTTCTGTTGAGAATTCTCTGTTCAGCTCAATGCCCCATTTTATAATTGGGTTGGTTAGCCTTTTACGGTCTAGTTTCTTGAGATCTTTATATATTTTGGAGATCAGACCTTTGTCAGTTGCGGGGTTGGTGAAGATCTTCTCCCAGTTAGTGGGTTGCCTTTGTGTCTTAGCGACAGTGTCCTTTGCTTTACAGAAGCTTCTCAGTCTGGACAGCCATCAGAAAGAAGTGGCTATGCCACACCCCACTTCTCAGGTATTGATTCAGTGTCTGTTGTGGACCCAGATATCTAACATTTTAATAAGCATGATTTAGTGTCTGTCGTGGACACAGATATCTACCATTTTAATAAGCACTCCCTGCAAATGTGATGCAGTAATGCATGGCCCTTTCGGGGAAATGGTCTGATGGGGATGGCGTCCATTTCAGTCCTGGTCATTTAAAGGAACCCATGCAGACTTCTGTCATCTGGGGAGTCTATGAATGTCATTGTTCCACAGTGTGCTGCTCTTGCTGCTACCTGCTCAACAGGATGTGTTCCTACAAGGCATCACAGACCAGCTGCTGGTCACACGGATGGGAAGAGAAAAGGAAATGACTGACCTGGTGAGTCCCACATGATCTTGTCACTGTTGCTCAGGTAACAGGCTGAACAGACCACACCACTTTTGGTTCTTCTCCAGGAGTTGGTTCTGCATGGAAAGTTCACTGTTTTCTCCCCTGTTCTACTAGAAGGCAGAGAAGGAGTAGAGAAATCTCATGGAAAGGGGAGGAAGGCAGATGAGAACGCTCATGCACTCTACTGTACTGAATATAGGGATGGAGTAGTCTGTCTGCATCCAGTCAAGTCAAAGATGTGCAGTGACATCTTCCTCTTCTTTGTTCATCTCACAGACCCTTCCTATACAGACACACACACACACACAAACACACACACACACACACACAAACACACACACACACACACACTCACACACTGGTGGCACTGATGACTCACATACTGGAAACAAGGGCTCATGTCAGCTTCTTGTCAACCTTCTGTGTGTACTCTCTAAAGTCTTGTTGTTCTTCTCATAGAAGAGACCTGACATTGACAACCTTGAAAAGGAACAAACTTGGAGGATGAACACCTGACTCCCAAACTCCTTATAAACATAGAGAAATGAAGACAGTGTGCCTCATTGGTAATTACAATAAGACAGAAAAGAATATGAAGGGGACAGAAGAGTCACACACGTGTGAGGGGACACCTTTAGCAAAGACACAAAGACACTTCAGTGAAGCAGGCATATGCTGGTCACCGAGTTTTTCTGGGACTGTTGGTGGTTATAGGAGGTACAGCCCAGCATCGTGATCAGCTGCCTAAGGATAACCCTGTTCCTTTGATGACCATGACCTTGGTAAAGCTGGATCTATGATTAGGATGCAGAAAAGAATTTCAGGAAAAGCCAGAATGAAGCAAAGCTTGTGAGCTTATTCATGCTATGGAAGAAGCTCACATAGTATAGGGATGGCTCAGGAATGAAGGCCTGAGTGAGGACTAGAGAGACTTGAGATTAGGGTGTGTGAGGAGGGCAGGAGAGTGAGAAATGTGAAGATTTTTATGGTTCTCAGAGTTACATTGTTACATTATTACATTGTTTGAAAATTACATGCTTTGAGTCTTTGAAATGGTTCTGTTTTTCCACTTGAAGAAAATATACAATAGGTTATTAAAAGTAAAAAATAAAAATGCTTTTAAATGTTCTTATCCCTTTTAAAAAACTTTTAGTAAATTAAATTGTAAGGTGAATATGTGATTCTGCCAACATTCTGGTCCTAAGTAAGCATAATTAATTAATTTTTTAATGTTTTTCACAAGGAAGTCTGTGCACCATCTGAGTGAATACCTATTGCTCACAGAGGGCACCAGAGTTTGAAATCTCTCAAACTGGAGTACAGACAGTTGTGAATCATCAGGTAGGTGCTGGGTATCAACCCTGGATCCTCTGGAAGACATCCAGTGATATTAAAGAATGACCCCTATCTTCGGACCCTAGTTTATTTGTTGTTATTTTTAAACTTTCTTTGAGATGTCTTTAGTACTACTTGCATTATATCTGTGGGTAATTTTGACTCTATCATTTGGGTGGAGGCTTCTTGAATGTCAGTTAGAAAAATGTAAAAATGATCACAGGGCCGGGCAGTGTTGGCTCACGCCTTTAATCCCAACACTTGGCAGGCAGAGGCTGGCGGATCTCTGTGAGTTCGAGGCCAGCCTGGTCTACAAGAGCTAGTTCCAAAACAGGAACTAAAAAGCTATGAAGAAACCCTGTCTCGAAAATCAAAAAAAAAAAATGATCACAGGGTGAGGGGCTGTGTATTCCCCTCTCATATCCCCTTCAATGCCCTGTTTTTCTGTCTTATTATGGGACAAGTGGACATCCTCATGGACAAATATAAATATAGACAAGTTGTTTATCACCGGATACAAAAGTCAACCAAAATTAACAAATGATCTACATAGGACTAGAGAGACATCTCTGAGGTTAAGAGTGCCTTTGGCTATTGCAGAGGACCTGACTTCAGCTTACAGTCCCCATATGGTGGCCCAGAGATACCTATAACTCCAGATCCAGGGGAGCTGACAGTCTTTTCTGGTCTCAGCAAGCATCTGCATTCAAATGTGCATACGGCACACACAAACATATAGGCAGATACCCAGTAAATAGTGAAAGCAAATCTAAAAGGTAATTAATCCAAAATACAACCTAAGCATGAATCTTGTAACAGAAAGCAATTGATAGAATTATAGATAAAATTCATAGATATAACAAACCCCTTTTATGAAAAGAAGAACTGGACTGTTAGGACTTCCATAAAGTGAAAAATGTAAACTGTGATATAAAAGTTATTTTCCCTGCCTGGGAAAAAAATGAATGTAGGAAATTGTGTATTAGATGACAGCCTTATTGTTTCCAGAATACAGAAAGCCTAAAAAAGAGTCACTAAGAAAATACACAATTCATGAAATAAAAGTTGTCCAGAAGGGTGAGTAGATGCTCCACTAAGAGAAACATACAGCATCAACATCCTTAACACTTAGGGAAGAGAGACAGGTGACTCTAGGGGACTCTTGACACCCCCACAAAATATACAGAAATAATAATATGAAGACCTGGCAAGGTTGTGGGGGATGAAACTATCATACTGACTGCTGGTAGCCATGGGAAATAGGACAATAACTTGGAAAAATATTTCTCAGTTTCTTGATATGTTAATTGTCATTTGACCAAAGCTGTAACAACTTTCCTGATGGAGCAGAGCTGTTACTTTGAGGAAAGCTTTCCCTGAAGCAGATCTGTAAGCTGCTAAGCTTATACTGACTTTGTGGTATTCCTTGCATCTGGACGGCCAGGATCCCTTTACATTTGAGCTGAAATGTTTACACTACACATATATGTTTTTAATTGTACTCATTGTCTGGCAGAAAGACATCTCCACTCTGCCTTATGGCATCCAGGTCCAGAAGGTGCTAGCCAATCACAGACCAGCCAGAGTCCTCAAAGCCTGGTCTGGCTGGTAGACAACCAGAGGCCTGCCCAGAGCTACAAGGCTTCCATTACAATGAGCAAAATGTGTGGTGGAGAAACAGGAGAGAAAGAGTAGCGGGATAGTTCATGTGCTGTGAAAAGAGGGGGAATAGAAGGTGGTAAGGAAAAGGCTGAGGGGGTGGTCTTCTTGTCATTCATGGTCATGGTGTCAACAGGACCGAGGTTGCTACCAAAGGTCATTTCTGGGTCTCTGGTCTTATTGCAGCTCGGGTCTATGTTAACATCCATGGTCCATGCTGCCACCAAAGGGCACACAGGAGCCTGGAGTCTGGGCTGTGTCCTCTGGCCTTGTTGGGATCTGAGCGCTGTGTTGCCATTGGAGTGACAATGATCTGAGAGACCCGAGCTGCCAACCTGGTGTTGTGCATGCCTGAGCTGCTGACCAGGGCCATATCTGTGACCCAGCAGTAGCCAGGGTCTTTGTCTTCCTGACTCCTGTTACCAATGAAGGCCATGCGGATGCCTGAAGTGTGGGTCACCACCTGAGGCCACGTTGGTGTCCAAAGGCTTTGCTGCAGCTGGTGCCATCCTGATCTGTGTGGTCTGTGAAACCACCCGGGAAATGGTGACATCAAGGACGAGTTGCTGCCAGGATCATGTTGGGTCTATGGTCCTACCAGAGCTAGGGTATGTGCTGATGTTTGTGGCCCATGTTACTACAGGGGGCCTTAAGAGCCATGAATGATGATATCCAAGGGCCAGAGTGAGCTGGTTCTGCCCTTTGGTGGACATTGTGTCAAGAGCTGGCCCTGACTTTCACAGGAGAGTTAGTCCCACACCTCACCATGGGCATTGGAAAACTGGGCCTGGTGCCATGGGCATAGGTGAGCTGGCTTCGGCCCTATCCTTAGGCAGGCAGCTGATCAGCTCAGCTACCACCCAGGTCCATATTGGGGTTCTTGGCTTGGCCCATCCTAACATCTACACCATCTAAGGCCAACTGGAATGCTGGAATTGACTGGTCCTGGGGAACAATACCTGCAGAATCTCTGTTACTTGGGGTGACTGCAGGATATCCTAGAGGAGTTTTGTTGAGGGTCCCATGATGATAGTGTACCAGAAACTAGAGGCCATGAACAAGTTCAATGACTCATTGCAATGAAAGTTTACAAGTAAATATGTTGGACAAAAAGGTATACTGTGTGACTCACCTTATATGTAGATCGTATTAAAGTGTAATAGAAGCCCGAGTACTGCTTCTGATGACTTCAGTTGGATCCCCAGGACCCACATTGTGGAAGCAGAGAAATGACTCCTGCAAGTTGTCCTCTGACCTCTACAAGTACACTGTAGATCATGTATGGCCTTGCCAGACACACAAAATAGGCAGACAAATAAATGTAAAAAATGTAAATGGACATAACTTACCAAACACAAAACAAAAGCCAAAAATAACCGATGTTCTTATTGCTGACTGAAATAGACTCTAAAATGATTGCTTTTTTCAAGACATATATCTGAAACAAAGGCATTAAAATGTTATCTTGAACACGTAAAAAGAAGTAAACACATACCATCCAAGAACGAATTATTAGAAATCTAGAGTTATAATCTTAACGTTTAAGAAAGAACTAAAACTAAAGTGGAATAAAACAATTTTAAAACATGCAGTAATGTTATGTGTAAAATTCATTAGGAGAATGCTAATCTTTCATACTTATATTTCAGTCACAAAGCAAAATATGGATTGAAGGAAAATTACAAGAAAGTATAAAAGCCGATTAATAATTGCAGATGAATGCAAAGTAGTTTTCTCAATGTGACCACAATCATAGGAAAATAATTTATTAAATGAGAGGCCCTGCATAACCTAACCTCAAAGGCATATGCCCTGGGAAGACATATGGAACTCTTAAGTCTGATATAATCTTTTTTTGTTGAAAGCATGGATTATTCCGTGATGGGAACTTCATTTGATGTGTAATGCAGTTTCTCCCCCTTTCCTTATCAGCGTTTGCAGGTTATTATTGACAGTCAGAAACAAATGAGAGAAATATCCCAGAGACAAGTCCATGGCCATCGTCACAGATATCACACGCAAAAGACATACATAATTTAGTAGCTCTCACTATCCTGTGTGTGGTCAGAGATGAAACTGTTTTAACGTGATTGTACCCCTTGAGCTCTCAGTAAACACCAGGGAGCTAGGAGAGTGAGAATGAGAGGTGTCGTGTGTGTGTGTGTGTGTGTGTGTGTGTGTGTGTGTGTGTGTGTGTACAGGAATTCCTTGGCAGAGGCTGGTCTGCAAAGCCTGGTTGATTGACTCTTAGACCTGCAGTGATATGGAGATGGTGGAAGTCGCAGTCCCAGGGCCTAATTACAATTTCCTTTGTGTTCTTTTGAGCCCATGAGTAGCCACTCCTTGGGCCCCCTGTGCTGGACTTACCTAACACCTTGTCACTAACAGATGACGTTGGACCTGACATTTAAAATATCAGAATATGTCTCCTTATCAAAGCTTTAAGTTTCTACCAGTCAAAGGACTGCTTTTCATCACATAGCAGCTAGTGCCTGTAGCTGAGGTTTCTCTGCTTTAACATAACAGTCTACTTAATATTATCACCCATGTACTTAAGGAGAGTCTATAGTTTCTTCATTCTGTGATTATAAATACTTCATGAAACTGTTTCCACATTGTAACTTGCAATTTGTACTAACATAAACCTGTCTCACTCATGTTTACTCACATATATTTGACTCCAGAATGAACTCTCTTCTTCCTTCGAGGTGAGAGCTGTGTGTTTACATTGACAATTGTTAGTGTGTGTTGTGTATATACTCATGCTTGTGCAGATATGTCCCTGGATATATATGTGTGAAAGTTAGTTAATCACTTACTGCTGTGATAGGCTATGTGTTATAATTCTCCTGGTCCTCTTCAATGATGACCTGGTGTGTAGTATACTGCTTACTTATCTCCATAGTTCTTTACTCATGTGCTGACCGATATCAGTATGGCTCAACACCCATTTTCCCAAACTGTTTTCCTCTATTGCTGTTCTCTATTTCAATGCTCCATTTGTCCCAGTATGGCTAGAGGAATCCTTTAAAGATGGCATCTGTGTTCATCTGGTGCCTCTGGAGAGGAGATGGAAAGTCTAGGAAATCCATCCATTCCAGTGTCAGGGGATTCAAGGTGACCATCACATTCATATTCTCTACAGAGCACCACTCTGTATCCCATGTGCACTGCCCACTTTACACTCAGGGAGGATGAAGTGAGTTGTGGAGCACTACAGTTGCTGCAATCCATAAATGGAACTGCTCTAGTATTGTATCAAGTTTCCAAACACACTGAAAACGCATTGCTATTCCATAAAACATCAGCCCCTTTAAAGAAAATAAATGTAGGCATGTAGTTTGAATGCCACCTCCTGGCCATAATGGGGACTACATCAGTGAGAGTCTTGGGCCCAGTGGCGTCTATGTTTGGGTGGGAGGGAACATTGGCTGTGACCTGGACTTAAAGGGACCTTACCTCTGGAGATAAAGCAGTGTTTTTTCACTTCAGTATATTTTCCTGGTACATAAACCTTGACATCTTAGGTATATCAAATGTAAACCAGAGATTGGAGACCAATCCCAGTCTAAGGCTAACATAAAGCAGCCTCATTAGATAGAGATGGTGGAGCTCTGTGTGCAAACACACACACACATATGCACACAGGCATGCACAGAGCATGAGAGTAGATTCCATTTGTCCTTCTACTTCATTGCCCAGAAACGGAACACAATGACTACTTCTAAAGTACAGAAGGTATAAACATCGTTTATCCAGTGTGTGGTTGTGTGCCCGTGTGCATATGTGTGTGCTTCTGCAATTGTATGCATACATGCATGTGGTCAGGGGACAGAAGGCAGCCTCCGGTGTTGTACCTCAGGCGCCATCCCCCTGAAGTTTTTCTTAGACAAGGTTTCTCACTGGCCTGGAACACGCAAGGCAGGCTGGGTTGGCTGGGCAGCACACTCCAGGGATAGGCTTGCCTCCACCTTCACACACAAGCATGTCCCACCACACCTACTACTTTTCCTGCTGTAGTTTAACTTCATTTTCTTGATGATGCTCTCTGTGAATGACACTCAGGGCCTCATGCCCACAAGGCCAGCAATTTATTGATTTAGCTGTCTCCCCAGCCCCACTTTTACCACCCGAGCACAAGCATTTTTCTCAGTTTACACTTTAAAGTACTTTCCTTCCTGGATACGAAATTTGAAACACCACCGGAAAGCACATGTACTACCATAAGGAAATCTGTGTCTGTCGCCGGGCTTATTCCTACCCCTAAGGCACAGGGCTGTCTGCAGGGAAATCTCCAGAGAGTGAGCTATCTGAGTAGAGTGCCAGCCGCCATTTTCTGTGCGCCTTGCTGTATGTGGTGGTGAGGAAGTCACTTCCCCATTTAGGGGATGGTAATCTTTAATGTGTCTGCCACGGACACACAGGGCTCTGCCTAACATCCAGTGAAAAGAGGATGGTTTCCCATGACAGAACTAAGCTGAAACTCTCCCACAGTGAATGGAACGATAATAGTCCTGCTAATTATTTTGTGTGTTTAGTGCAGAGTCTCAGAGCAGCCCAGCCCAGCCTGGGACTCTTCCCCTTCCTCCCTCAGCCTTCAGAGTGCTGCTGGTCCTCCCAGCTTACCACACTGCCCCAGCTCAAGTATTCATTTTAATGTAAACACATTCTTAATGCTACTGTTTTCTTCTCGGCCCAGTAACATTTTCATTCCATTTCTACATGTATATTGTTGAATTCCCACGAAATAAGTAATTTTATCATTGATTTCCCTGCAAAAATTTATTTTATAATGATCCACATCTCTTGTAAAACCATGTACTCTAAGATTGTTTTCCTAAGAAATTTCACATTTTCTGAGATATTTCTGGTTTTTGTTTGGTTTTCATTTTGAGGCAGGGCCTCTCTGTGCTATTAAGGCTGTTCTGAAACTTCTTAGCAGTAATGATCGTGTAACCCCAGTGTTCAAATAGCTGAAAGTGCACGCATTTGCCACCTAACGCTGATGAAAACTGTTCTCATTACTGCCTGGCATTTGACCATTTTTCTTCATTGTTTCACAACAATTATTTTAATTTGTACATAATTTTAAAATATACATAACTTAATAATAATTACGTTGTGTATATTCCTATGTGTATGTACACATGAATTCCGGCGCCTCCAAAGGTCAGGAGAGGTCATACCTTCCTGGAGCTGAGGTATGGTCCTTCAAGGATGTTGGAAATGGATGCTGGAAACTACCTTGGATCCTCAGCAACAATAGAATGCACTCTGAACCACTGAGTCATCTCCCCTGCCAGACTGTAGACTGTTAGATTCCGTTAGCCTTTATAATGTTCATATTTTAAATTCCACTGTGTTTTCCCCTTGGTCAATGACCTGGAGTTGATGCTTCTTTTTTTTTCTTGTTTAGATTTTAGTTATACTTTTAATTATGTCTGTCTGTCTGTCTGTGGTATGCACATGATTGGCAGAGGCATTGACTCCTGATGGGGCTAGAGTTAAAGGCAGTTGTGAGCTATCTGCCATGGGGGCTGGGAGCCATACTCTCATAAACAGTAATGACTCTCTTGTCTCTTTCCTCCTCCCTCTACGCCTTGAGTGCTGGTATTACAGGTGAGGGTGAACATGCCCAGAGGGTCAAAGAACACAGAGCAATTTCCATTCTAGGCAATCATTCTGCCACGAGAGCTATGTCGCCAGTCCCCATACTGTGGCTTTTTAAATTCACCAGTGATTTCTTTTCATGGTATAGCATTCTCATTGAACAGCTACCAGAGAAATCAAGAATATAGCTGGGAATGTGTGCACAGCCAGGGGAGCAATAGCAGTGTCTAGGGACCACTTTTAAAAATCCCCAAATGTGCTCCCACCACATTTGTGAAGAGCTTGGGACAGGGCCGTCAGATGCTGGGCAGATCTAAGTGCTGTAGCATCCTCGAGTCCAGCCTCTGGCAAGGACATCCTGTTCCTGAGAGCATGTCTCCTGCCAGCAAACCTACCTTACATGCCCAGCTTCCCAAAGGTCAGCAACAAGGGACTAGAGGCTGTTGTTGTACTGTCTGTGGATGTGTGTGCACAGCCAATGACCCAGACCCTGCAGAAGAATCACAAAACAGGAAGAAGGTTGGTCAAAGAATCAGACACATCCTTAAGCTCAGTACTGAAGACATAAAAAAAGAAAATTTGGAAATATAGCATAGTGTGTGGAAATAGAAATGACGGAGAAAGAAGAACAGGATTTCCCTTGCACGGAGATGTGAGTGTATGTGTCCTGATGTGGGGCTGTGCCTCCCTAGGAGTATGGGGACAATGATGAAGGGATCCCAGAGATATCTGAGAAGCCGGATTCTGCGTTTGGATGTCTGTACAGCAATGGTTCTCAGCCTTCCTATGCTGTGACGTGACTCTTAATACAGTCCCTCATGCGTGGTGATCCCAACCAGAAAATTATTTCTGTTGCTTCATCATCGCTGTAAAGTTGTTACAGGTAAGAATCACAATGGAAATAGTTTTGGAGATAGACGTTTGCTGAAGGGGTCAAGTCACAGGTTGAACCACTTTTCTAGAGTCAGAGAGATGTGGGACCTTCCTAGCCCCAGCAACTTTGGTTCCCTGAGCCAGGATGTCCTGGACCCATTCTCCAAACACAGGCTGGGAATTTCTGTGAGGAGAAAACAGAGTGAGACCCTCTGCTCTGAGCTGTGCTTCCCACTCTGTGAATTGAGAGCATCACACTGCTCATGTGCTAATTTGGGGGTCTTTAGTGATAATACCTGCTTTAAATACCAGTCACAAGTTCCTGCATATGTGACAGACTAATGTTGATATATGCAATTGGAATTACAGGCTGGCCTTGAACTCAGACATCCAACTGCCTCTGTCTTGTGAATGTTTGCTCCATTCCCTGCTGTCAAAAATAAGCATTTCTAAAGGCAGTCTTCTTCTGGAGAAATAGGGACAAACAGTTGCTGCAGAATTTAGAGACTGATTTCACTTCAACTCTGCCTAAAACCTACTCACTTCCTTCATCTGTAAACCTGCCAAGAGCAGTACATGCTGTAGAACAGCCATTTTCAAAAATACACTGAATTTTGGGTTCACTTTTTAAGAGACAAATGTTAGATTCTTATTCTGTTGGAAATTATGCTACGGTTAGCTGTACTTAGAAAACTTTACATCTGAAAATTATTCATCAGCAACTCGTTATCAAATTGTTAAGTTTTACAATGACTAGTTTGGGTATTCAAACTATCCTGTGTCAATACACGTGGAATAACTGATGTCAGTAAATGGAAGCACCGTGTCTCCATGTGGTCAGACAAATCCAGAGATGTTAGAGCAATTTCTCCACAGGGAAAATGCACAGCGCATCCATTGCTATCGGCCCTCTCCCAGACAAGGCTGCACAGGGCAGCTCTCCTGCTGATCACTGCAGCATGGCTTCATCCCTCTTTCATACCTCCATCCCTCCCCTGTCTTCGGAACCATCTCCACTGTCTCCACACACTACCTCATCCCGCCCTCCCCAGGCCTTTCTCTGTGCAGTGCCAAGTCACCTTCTACCAAAAGGAAACATATCATGACAATTTCATAACTCACCTTCCACACAGATCATATAATCCAAATGTCATACACAGCTGACAATGACAACATTTTCCTTTCTGTCCTATCCCCAAGCAGTGTCCACGTTGTCTTCAAGGTTCTGGCAACTAGCCTTGTTCTCTGCTCTTAGATCCACTGTTCTCCATGGAAGCAAGCAGGCCCACAACTTGGTTTGTGCATGGTCTTGCTTCTATTTGCCATTCAGGACTCAGATCACATGCTAACTTCTGAAACCTTTGGGGGTAACATCACATACGACAATCCCCATCACAACTATTTCCTGTCCCCTTTATGATCTTTAAAGCGCCAATAATACACGGAATTGCTGTGATTACTGATTTCTTCTGCTTACTGACAGTTTACCTATCTAACACGATATACAAGGACCCGTGCTAGTCTTCACAGTGCAGGAACAAGGTGTTCACTAAAGAGGCCACTATGTGAATATCTGGATAAACGTACACGAAGGAATTGATTTGTCTATTTGATATGCCATGCAACACAGTGGTATTTAAGGCAGTAACAAGAGAACATGGTATGGACTTAAGCAGTCTGTGACTTCATATCCTGGAAGACAGAATATCAAACACACTAGCAATACGTTTTAACATGGACAGCCATCAGAAAGAAGTGGCTATGCCACACTCACTTCCTAGGGTTTGAATCAGTGTCTGCTGTGGACCCAGATATCTACCATTTTAATAAGCATGATTCAGTGTCTGTTGTGGATCCAGATTTCTACCATCTTAATAAGCAATCCCTCCAAATGTGATGCAGTCATGCATGGCCCATTCGGGGAAATGGTCTGATGGGGATTGCTTCCATTTCAGTCCTGGTCATTTAAAGGGACCCCTACAGGGTTCAGTCATCTGGGGAGTCTATGAATGCCATTGTTTTACAGTGTGCTGCTCTTTGCTGCGAACTGCTCAACAGGATGTGTTCCTACAAGGCATCACAGACCAGCTGCTGGTCACACAGATGGGAAGAGAAAAGGAAATGACTGACCTGGTGAGTCCCACATGATCTTGTCACTCTACTGTACTGAATATAAGGATGGAGTAGTCTGTCTGCATCCAGTCAAGTCAAAGATGTGCAGTGACATCTTCCTCTTCTTTGTTCATTTCACAGACCCTTTATACACACCCATGTACACATCACACACACACACACACACACACACACACACACACACACACTCACATTGGTGGCAATGATGACTCACATACTGGAAACAAGGGCTCATGTCAGCTTCTTGTCAACATTCTGCGTGTTCTCTCTGCAGTCCTGCTGTTCTTCTCATAGAAGAGACCTGACATTGATAGGCAGAGGACACAAAGTATCACTGACAAGAAGCATTTGCTTTTGGCTTTCTTCCCAGGGGTGGTCAGATAATCCAGAATTCTAGACAGATAACAAATGAAGAGCAGGTCCACTTGAATGTACTCCCACGGGCATGTTATGGGATAATTTAAGCATCACAGTATATAATGATGACAAAGGAGTACTCCTTTAAGAAATGGGTGTTTCTGAGTAGACACAAACGCATGAGTAAATCCATTAATAAACAAAAGATAAAAGGGAAACATTACTCAAAGACAAGCAATGCTTGTATACTAGTAACTGCACAGGGAAGTAGGCATCAGAGCAACACTTAGCAGGCGTCATGGTTATAATAAACATGGAAAGAACCATACATAAAACACCCCTCTGTACAAGTCCACAGCAACACTGCTAAAATCTGCATGACTGGATGGGAAAACAAGAGGGAAAACACACGAGTACTAACCTTTTCCTTTTTGTGTTGGGGAAAATAATATTAGATATTTTGAAAATAATTACCTAAGTATTCTTCATAATACAAACCTTTCTGGAGTTACACATACATACCTAACTCTTCACATGTATCCCCTTCTTTCTCTCCACCGTGATCTCAGCACCTCCCTGATGGAGCTAGCTGGGAGGTAAAGGACTATCTCTATGATTCCAAAGATGCCATTGGGGCAAACCTTTGACCTGTGGCTGCCTTAGAAATTTTCCCCCAAACTGGGTGTTGGACATTTGTTTCTGTTCTCATAATTCACTTGCAACTTCAAAGTACTGAATTTTGAACACAGCAAATATATGTTAGCATCAAAGACATTTTCATCATAGAGAATGTAATTAAATATTTTAACCTAAAAGATTCATCAATAACTCTGTCTAAATTTAACACAGACAGCTGACCACAGTGAAATGAATGTGTGGAAGCTGTAATTTAAAATCCCTGTCACTGGAGATAGCATCAGGAAATATGAAATAATTAGGAAAACTCTGCCCACTTCTCTGTAGTGCCTAGACACTGAATGGGACAACTCATTGCTGAGAGTAAAGATGTATAGATTCATCGACTGTGGTGATATTTTGTTTCTTCCATGACAATAAAGCTTGCCTGAGAATCAGTGTGTGCAGATAGCCACTAGTTAGCCACAGAAGACAGGCAGTGTTGGAACTCACCTTTCCCAACACTTAAGAAACAGAACTCTGTTTCTTAACATATTTGGTTTCTCACTCATATTTGGTTTCTAGCCATAAATAAAGGACATTGAGCCTATAATTCATGTTCCTAGAGAAGCTAAATAAGGTGAATCCAAAGACAAACACATAGGCATCCTCAGGAATATTAACCTTCATCAGGCGATGAAAGGAGACAGAGACAGAGACCCACACGGGAGCACCGGACAGAAATCTCAAGGTCCAAATCAGGAGCAGAAGGAGACGGAGCACGAGCAAGGAACTCAGGACCACGAGGGGTGCACCCACACACTAAGACAATGGGGATGTTCTATTGGGATCTCACCAAGGCCAGCTGGCCTAGGTCTGAAAAAGCATGGGATAAATCTGGACTAGCTGAACATAGCGGACAATGAGGAATACTGAGAATTCAAGAACAATTGCAGTGGGTTTTTGATCCTACTGCACGTACTGGCTTTGTGGGAGCCTAGGCAGTTTGAATGCTCACCTTATGAGACCTGGATAGAGGTGGGCAGTCCATGGGCTTCCCACAGGTCAGGGAACCCTGATTGCTCTTCGAGCAGATGAGGGGGGGGGACTTGTTCGGGGGAGGGGGAGGGAAATGGGAAGCGGTTGTGGGGACGAGGCAGAAATCCTTAATAAATAAATAAATTAAAAAAAAAAAAAAAGAAACAGAACTCTGTGGGTTAAGGCCATCCTGGGCTACATTAGATTGATCCAGTCTAAAAGAGAAACAGAGTCAGGCAGTGGTGACTCACATCTTTCATCAAAGTGCTTTGGTGTCACACACCTTTAATCCCAGCACGAGGGAGATGGAGAATGAAAGGAATGTGGCTGGAAAAAGAGAGGAATATAAGGTGGGAGGAGATAGGAGATCCAGGCAGTCAGTCTGAGGTCTTGTAGAGACAGGATGCTCCATTTGGTCTGAGGATTTTTTCGGGGAAAGAACTAGTGTCTGGCTGCTCTGCTGTTCTGATCTTATAGCTCCAACTACTTAATATCTGACTCCAGATTTTATTTTTAAGACCAATTAGAACTCACGCTACAATCATCTTCATGCAATGGAAGATACAGGTGTCTGTTCTCCTCATATAGTCCTATAGATCCAGTGCAATACCAACAGAACTCTAACAGACTTTTCATAAACTAATGGGCTTATCCTGAAATTCACAGTGAATATGGAGAACCCCAGCTTGAAACAACCTTATAAAGGAACAAACTCGGAGGATGAACACCTGACTTCCAAACTCCTTATAAACCTAGGGAAATGTAGACAGTGTGCCTGATTGGAAATGACAATAAGACAGAAAAGAATATGAAGGGGACAGAAGAGTCACACATGTGTGAGGGGACACCTTTAGCAAAGACTCAAAGACACTTCAGTGAAGCAGACATTTGTGCTTCACCGAGTTTTTCTGGGACTCCCCATAAGTGGTAGGGAGGTACAGCCCAGCACAGTGACCAGCAGCCTGAGGATAACCCTGTCGCTTTGATGACCTTGACCCTGGTAAAGATGAATCTAGGATGCAGTAAAGAATTTCAGAAACAGCCAGGATGAAGCAAAGGTTGTGAGCTTATTAATCCTGTGGATAGAAGCTCACACAGAATAAGGATGGCTCCTGCATGATGGCCTGAGAGTGGACTGGAGAGAGACTTGAGATTAGGTGTCATTGCAAAGGGTATGTGAGGTGGGCAGGGAGGGAGGTACAGTGGGAGAGGGAGAAATGGGAGGATTTTTATGGCTCTAAAGTTACATTGCTGAAAGAATGTAATTCAGAAAATTTCAAGATTAAATTACATTAAAGCCTATATTCAGGTTTTTAAATTAACTATAAGAATATTTTTACTCTTTAAATGGGTTCTATTTTTCCATTAGGAAAAAAATATTCAATAGGTTATTAAAAAGTAAAAAATGAAACTAAAAAGCAATGCTTTTAAATGTGCTTATTCCTTTTAAAGTTTCTTTCAGTAAATTAAATTGTAAGGTGATTATGTGACTTAGGCGATAGAATAGAGTGCTATCATCATCCATCTCAAGGCTACAAGTATTCTGCCCCTAAGAAAGCATAACTGCGTTTTTTATTTTCTGCTTTTGAATGCTTTTCCACAGGGAAGTCTGTGCACCACGTGAGTACCTAATGCCCACAGAGGGTGCCAGACTTTATGAGATCTCTCGGAACTGGAGTTACAGACAGTTGTGAACCATCGGGTAGGTGTTGGGTATCAACCCTGGATCCTCTGGAAGACATCCAGCGATATTAAAGAATGAACCCTATCTTCAGACTCTAGTTTATTTGTTGTTATTTTTAAACATTATTTGGGATGTCTTTATGAATAGTTGCATCATATCTGCAGGTAATTTTGGCTCTATCAGTTGGCTTGAGGTTTCTTGAATGTCAGAAAAATGTAAAAATGATTACAGGGTGAGGGGCTGTGTGTTCCCTCTCATATCCCCTTCAATGCCCTGTCTTTCTGTCTTATTTTGGGACAAGCAGACCTCCCCATGCACAAATATAAATATAGACAATCGTATATCGCAGGATACAAAAGTCAATCGAGAATGAACAAATGATCTACACAGGACTAGAGAGATATCTCAAAAGTTAAGAGTGCCTTTTGCTATTGCAGAGGACCTGACTTCAGTTTCCAGCACCCATATGGTGGGTGACAGATGTCTGTAACTCCAGATCCAGGGGAACTGACAGTCTCTTCTGGTCTCAGTGGGCATCTGCACTCAAACGTGTATTTGGCACACACAGACATACAGGCAGACCCTCAGTAAATAGGGAAAATAAACCTAAAAGAAGTCCAAATTACAACCTAAACATGAATCTTGTAGCAGAATACAATTGGATGTTCAGGTTCATGAATTACAAACAAACTTCTTAGATATGGCAAACCCCCTTTCATTAAATGAAGAACTGGAGTGTTACGAATTCCATAAAGTGAGAAAATATCTATTCTTCCAAATATATGATAGAAACATATTTTTCTTACCTGGGAAAATGAATGTGGGAAATTGTATATCAGATGACAGTCTTCTTGTATCCAGAATACAGAAAGCTTCTAAAGGAGACACTAAGAAAATAGACAATTCAGGAAATAAAACTTGACCAGAAGGGTGAGTAGATGCTCCACTCAGAGAAACATACAGCAGCAACATCCTTAACACTTAGGGAAGAGAGACAGGTTGTAGTAATAAGGGCGGCGGGGCTGCATCCCTGGCACCCGGCCGCCCCCACGGCTAGCTTTACCCAAAATAATTACACGGAAACTGTATTCATTTAAACACTGCTTGGGCAATTAGTCCTAGCCCTTACTGGCTAATTCTGTTATCCCGATCAACCCATCTCTAATAATCTGTGAGCACCGGTCTTACCGGGAAGATTCTAGGTCGGAGCTTCATCTCGTGTGTCTGCCCAGGAGCGGGGCATGGCGTCTCTCTGAGGCGTCTGCCCCCGAGAGGAGAGCTGTGGAGTCTGAGCTCACTTCCTCTTCCTCCCAGCGTTCTGTTCTGTTTACTCCTCCCACCTATCTTCTAACCAATAAAATGGGCCAAGGCAGTTCCTTTATTAGCCAATGACCTTCCTCCATCAACAGGTGACTCTGAGGGGACTCTAGACAACCCCATAAAATACTCAGAAATAAAGACTTGTCATACAAAGACCTGGCAAGTTTGCGGAGGATGACTCTCCCATACCCACTGCTGGTGGCCATGGAAAACAGGATGATAACCTGGAAAAATCTTTTTCTGTTTCTTCATATGTTAATTGTCATCTGGCCATCACAACCCAAATATATAACCTGGAGAAAGAGGACATATTTTCTTTTAAAGACTTATTTATTTCAGTTCACAACAGCTTTATATACAAGACACTGAAATTGAAAACAACCTCAGCAACAGGCAACAGGCAAAGACTCATTTCCCAAAACCAGCATGGCAGTTTTCAACTGTTAACTCCAGTGCCAAGGGATTCAATGTCCACTCTTGGCTTCCATGAGCAACAGGCATGCATGCGCTCTTCATACCTATATGTAGCCAAGCATATATACACATGAAATAAACTAAATTATAAAACTTGCCGTGTAGCTATACAATGCTACACTATTTAATATTAAGAATGAACAATTATCATGGGAAACAAAAGAGATAAATTTAAACATATATTCAAGATGAATGAAGGCCAGATGTCTCTAAACTCTGGTTCTATCCTAATACATTCCAGCATATATAAATTTGTCTATAATATCAGATTGTTGTATTTTTCTGCAGACAGGGTTGGGCAGTGGTTGGGTATGAGAACCTAAGTAACATAAAGAAACTTTATGGATTGGTAAATAATAATGAAACTTATACCTACCTGAGTATAAGAAGATGTCTATTGTCATTATGGGGAAAAGTGGAAAAATACAAATTACGTTTTATATTTGGTGACTTGGACTTCAGAGATTGCCCCATGGTTAACAGGACTTGCTGTTCTTACAGAAGACCTGGGCTGGGTTCTCAGCACTCACTTGCTGGCCCACAATGGACTGCATATCTGTTTCTAGGGGAAACAACACCCCTTTCTGTCCAAAGCAGCACACCCTGATCCTGAAACCAGAGCAAAAGAAACATACACTGACCCTGAGACTAGAATCAATTCACTGGCCCTGAAACCAGAGCCCAACGTTTTAAAAAGGCCAGTGAAATAAACACACTTTGCCCCTGAAACCAAAGCCACAGAAACACACTCTTCCACTTACCAATTCAGCGAAACAAACTAACCAATCTCTCAGCATAAAAGGAATCAATCCCAGAGCAGGAAAACAAGCTAATCACTGAGCATGAAACCACCCTGTACCTGTTCAGTTGGTAGCTGCCTTTCCCACTCTTGCAGGGTCAGCCACCTCCTGGACTCTTCCCTCCCAGTGAATCTCTTGAATGAGGCTTGGGTAAGACCTTCTTTGCCTAAGAAGAACAGAGAAGCAATGACTTCAACTGGAGTCAAGCGGAGGAGAGGGGAGCAGAACTGGAAAAGTTTCTCTTAGCAGAGCAGAGTTGTTACACTTCTGAGGATCTAAGCAGAGCTGTAACAACCTGGTTGGGGTAACCCTCCCCTACCAGAGCAGAGCTGTTAATTTGGGGCAAACTTTCCCTGAAGCAGGGCTGTGAGCTCCTAAGCTTAAGGTGAATTTGCAGTATTCATTGATGCCATCTTAAATGGATTCCTCTAGCCAATACTGGGACAAATGGAGCATGGAAATAGAGAACGGCAATAGATGAAAACAGTTTAGGAAAATGGGTGTTGAGCCATATTGATATAAGTCAGCACATGAGTAAAGAAATATGGAGATAAGTAAGCAGTGTACTACACACCAGGTCATCATTGAAGAGGACCAGGAGAATTATAACACATAACCTATCACAGCAGTAAGTGATTAACTAACTTTCACACATATATATCCAGGGACATATCTGCACAAGCATGAGTATATACACAACACACACTAACAATTGTCAATGTAAACACACAGCTCTCACCTCGAAGGAAGAAGTGAGTTCATTCTGGAATCAAATATCTGTGAATAAACATGATTGAGACAGGTTTATGTTAGTACAAATTGCATGTTACAATGTGGAAACAGTTTCATGAAGTTTTTATAATAACAGAATGAAGAAACTATAGACTCTCCTTCAGTGCATTGGAGATAATATTAAGTAGACCATTATGGTAAAGCAGAGAAACCTCAGCTACTAGCTGCTATGTGATGACACACAGTACTTTGACTCGCAGAAGCTTAGAGCTTTGTTAAGGAGACATATTCTGATAATTTAAATGTCAGGTCCAACGTCATCTGTTAGTGACAAGGTGTTAGGTAAGTCCAACACAGGGGGCCCAAGGAGTGGCTACTCATGGGCTCAAGAGAACACAAAGGAAACTTTAATTAGGCATTGGGACTGCGACTTCCACCATCTCCATATCACTGCAGGTCTAAGAGTCAATCAACCAGGCTTTGCAGACCAGCCTCTGCCAAGGAATTCCTGTACACACACACAGAGACACCTCTCATTCTCACTCTCCTAGCTTCCTGGTATTTACTGAGAGCTCAAGGGGTACAATCACGTTACAACAGACTCATCTCTGACCACACACAGGATGGTGAGAGCTACTAAATTATGTGGTCTGAATGAGATTCCTGTGACGATGGCCATGGATTTGTCTCTGGGACATTTCTCTCATTTGTTTCAGACTGTCAATAATAACCTGTAAATGCCGATAAGAATTTAACGACAAACTGCATTACACATCAAATAACGTTTTCATCATGGGATAATCCATGCTTTCAACAAAAAATATCCTTTGTAAGTTTCATTGACACTTGTTTCCTGACAGTTTACAGAAGATTTAATAATTTGTTCACAGAAAAAACAATATGTATAAATTTGTTTAAAAAATAATAGCAGTTATAGATGAATCAAAAAGTACAAATATTTGTGCATTATCCCGACAGATAGATCCATAGTGCTGATAGGCCGAGAGATTTCCAAAAATTGCTGAATTGGAGACAACCTGTCTTAATGAAGGACAACTATGTTCGCAGCTCAAACAATTCATTATTAGTAAGATGTCTGTTGATTCAAAACTGAGCTACAGATTGGATGCACTAACAACAAAATAGCACTTATTCTTTTTAAAAATTGAGTGGATAACTGTAAACATTGTAGACTAAATATATAGCTTGTGTAAACCTTAGAAACAGACAAATGTTAGAGAACAGCATTGCCTGATAGGAGACCTCTGTTTGAACCTACAGTAATTGGACCAGCATGCTATTGAATCAAAGTTGGCAAGAAAAAGTCCAAAACCAACATTCCACGCTCACATCCACACATTTACAGACCACTGCCTATATCGAGTCAACATTTTTCCTGTACCTGATGCTGGCATCAAGCTTGTGTGTAGTGCGTGTAGTGTGTGCTGAGAATAACTGACCATACTCCTGCTGCAGCCTCCCAGGCACTGGGATTACTGGCATATGTACCATGATTGGATAATTGGAGAACTGATGTTTCACAAATAAACAAGGCAATTTGATGCATAAAGATGGCCTTTCAGGAAGCAATACTGAGGCAAGTGTATATCCATACCCACAAATATAAACTAGGACCTACATCGTATCATATGTGAAGACCATTCAAAATAAATTACAGATGTAAAAATATAAAAATCAGCCTATAAATGTCAAACAGAACACAAGAAGAAAATCCCTGTCACTGAGTGCCAGGCAAAGATTTCGCAGACAAGACACCAAATAAAAACCGTAATTGAAGAACAAGAGAAGGTGGGATCTTACAATTTAAAATCTCCCGCTCTTCCAAAGACATGGATGAGAATTGAGATGATAAGTCTGAGGCTAAGAGAAAAGTTAGAAATACATATATCTGATAAAACATTTCTAACATTTCTATGAAACATACGGAAAACCTCAAATGTCAGCGAGCAATCTCACGCACAGAGTGGGAAGTCGGGATCACAGAGTGCTCATTTGGCCTCATTTCCCTCCTGCTCACTCTCCGACAACTCCCCTCCTGGACAATGGCTCCAGCACAGCCCTGTACAGAACAGCACAGGAGGAGGCAGAATGGTCCCAAGTCTCTCTCCTTCCGGAGAAACACAGGCTGCAAGCCCCGAGGTAGGAGTGGTCCTACTTGGGTCTGGAATCCCTGCATCTGCCTCCCAACCCTCAGAAAGATTCTGGTGCTCACCTCCGGGAATCCATAAGCTCAACTCAGTCCAAACACCAGGAACTGAATGCTCCTTTCCAGGACATCGTCCGGTCGCCATTTGAAAAGAGTCGCCATAATGACCCCGGTTTCTATGACAACCGTAATGCTGCCTCCCCCTTAGTAACCAGGAATGGCTCCGCCCAGCCCTCCCTTACTTCCTCTCAAAGGAAGAACTCTTCACCCTTGTTTTCACCCAAGAAAGCATACCCATTAGAGAAACTGTCCCCACTACGAATGCAGAGCTTTTCTTTTTTTTTTTTTCCGCTCTGTGAACAAAGCATATCCCTAAAAGCCCGACCACATTGTACTCACCAGACCATGGTGGTATCTATGGAAATGTCGTCACAAAGATGAACATTGCTGTCACGGTGACAAATGAGCAATTTTATCCAATAATTAGCTATGCATATATAACCTCATCACGGGACTTTAAATTCTGGGACACCTTGTACAGAAACATCCTGAAAAAAGAAAATCAAAGGTTAAAAGTATTGTTTTGGAGATGCCGGGGCTCGAACCCGGGGCCTCATATATGCGAAACATGTGCTCTACCTCTGAGCTACATCCCCACACCTGGTAACAGCTTCATCAAAGCCCTTGTGAAGTCAGAGGAACCGCGCCAACGTTCAGAGTCTCTGCAAGGGTCTGCATCAGGTCCTTTGAGCATACTGGATTCCAGGTTGAGTTTAGTGCTTTGATAGGATTCTTGGGACATTTGTTGCATGAGAAAACAATCTATTTTCAATCAAAGGAAAAATAATAACAATAAAAATAATAACAACAACAATTATAAGAACAAACCTTATATTCTTTGAAGCATGGTAAGCTAACAATGAATGATACTTTGAATTACTCAGTCCCATCAATTTTACTTCAACTTTACCTGCAGGTGGTTCAACATGCCAGTATCATGGGGAATTAATAATAATATGTTGCTGATATGCGGTCATATTTGAGAGTATGAGTAGCTTCCTGAAACCCTCTCTAGCATACCTCCTTTCTCTTTTAAAAGACGCCTTAGTTTCCGGGCTTGAAAGGCAGTTTTTATAATCTTGGTCAGGCTGCTCATTTTGTTTCTTAACGTTGCCAATACTGTCCATCACTCCATTTACGGCAATAACTAAATGTGCGGTAGCTATTGGTTCACAAAACCCTAAGGTGCTGTCACTTTCTGCATGTTTATGTATCTCACTGCATGCTTTGTAAGTTTCAAAAATGAGAGGTTTTCTGAAATATGTCCTCTTTTCATACATCACCTAGTATATGTCTCAATATACAAAATCATTAAATAAATATTTCATGTATGTTCAGATGAGTTAGAAAAGTGAGTCTTTTTAAAAATAAAACAATCATTTTTTTTCATTTACATACCATCCAAGTTTCTATTCCCTCTCCTCAGCCCATTCCCTCTTCTTACCCGTCCCCCCAACCTTCATCTACTCCTCAGAGAAGCCAAGGCACATTGCCCAGAGGAATTAATACCTGGGGCTTTAATTTAATTCATTGGTCCATGTGTCTGCTTTTATGCCAATACCAAACTGTTTTTATCACTACAGCGCTATGGTGAAGTTTTAATTCAGGGATGGTGATGCCTCTGGAAGTTCCTTTATTGTA